AACGGTGGACTTCCCTTTTCATCCTCTATGTTCTGTTTATTTTAGGAGGGACCAATTCTTCCCCCAAGGCTAAAAACGTCTAAACCTGACTATTGTTCTATCGCGTCCGATAGAACGCCCCGTCACGGCGGTCTTGTCCACGCTGCAATCTGTCGAGCCAAAATCTCTCTCTCTTCTATTTAAAACAATGTGCAGATTTTCAAAACTGTGATCGGCTTACCTTAGAAGCGACCTTTTTGAAGACCCACAAATCCAGTCTCTATAGCTGAGCTCATCTCTGTCTTGCTCCTGCACCATCACGTCGGGTTTCACCAAAATGTAGTCAATAATTCCCTTTGACTGACGTGTCCAAAGTTGATGCAAGAGCGAGACAAGAGATCTTCACGTTTAACATCTGCATTTAATTATCTTTACAATCAGATACAGAATATTCAACAAAAAGTGCTCCTAAAACTAATATGTCCCTTTCTCTGGCCCTCGGCTGATCCTTCTGTGTCTTCCCAAGCCAGAGCATATAAAAAGAACAGGAAGGAGGGGAGTGTCCTATCAGCCAGCTTCATGGTCTAGGGTCCAGCCTTTTCCTCCGTCTGCCAGACTCCTGATGGAGTGAGGTTGAAAAGTGCAGAAGTCAGCAGGCCAAGACTAGGGAGGTGAAATCCAAACAGCAGAATCCATCTGTTGTCCAGTTGCTGGCACAAGAAGACACCTAAAATAAAATAAGAAGGACTGGCCTCCCACTTAGAGGTCGTTAGGTCATAAAACACATGGTTTTAGAATGTCACGTATTTATAAATACAACAATAGTAACAATAGTATATAGTAAGAGTAAGGCAAGGCAAGGCAAGTTTATTTGTATAGCACAATTCATACACAAGGTAATTCAAAGTGCTGAACAAAACAAGAAAGCATTAAAAACATAATCACAGTACATTAAAAAAAAAGATAAAAATATAAAATCCCTCAGTTGTATGCACAGCTAAACAGAACCGTCTTTAACCTGGTTTTAAACATTGTCAGAGAGGAGGCCTGTCTCACATCTTCAGGAAGACTGTTCCAGATTTTAGCAGCATGAATCTGAAAAGCAGCCTCCCCATGTTTAGTTCTGACTCTGGGCACTAACAGGAGTCCAGTCCCTGTGCTCCTCAGAGTCCGGGCTGGTTCATATGGGACTAACATGTCACTAATATATTTTGGTGCGAGGCCATGGAGAGATTTGTACACAAGCAGAGCTGTTTTAAAGTCTATTCTCTGAGCCACAGGAAGCCAGTGCAGAGACCTGAGGACCGGACTAATGTGGTCGTACTTCCTGGTTCTAGTCAGGACTCGAGCTGCTGCATTTTGAATGTACTGCAGCTGTTTTACAGCCTGTTTGGACAGACCTGTGAGCAGGCCATTGCAGTAGTCTAACCTACTGGAGACAAATGCATGGATAAGAATCTCCAAGTCTGCTTTAGACACTATGTTTTTGATCCTGGCAATGTTTTTTAGATGGTAAAAAGCTGCTGATGTTACTGATTTGATGTGGCTATTAAAATTTAAGTCTGAGTCCAGTATTACCCCTAGATTTCTGACCTTGTTTTGAAGGTTTTAGGGAGAGAGACTGTAGGTGACAGATGACGCTCTCTCTTTGTTTCTGGGGACCAAAGACAATCATTTCAGTTTTGTCTGCGTTTAGCTGAAGGAAGTTGTTTTGCATCCACTCACTGATCTGTTGGATACAGTGAAGGAGCGAGTCCACTGGTCCATGTTCTCCTGCAGTCAGTGAGACATAGATCTGAGTGTCGTCTGCATAGTTATGATAGGACACTTCGTTTCTGCGTATTAACTGACCTAACGGCAGCATGTAGAGATTGAACAGAAGAGGTCCCAGGATCGACCCCTGTGGTACTCCACAGGTCAGGGCCCTATGATCTGAGACACAGTTTCCAATCTCCACAAAGTACTTCCTGTCTTCAAGGTAAGACCTAAACCAACTTAGGGCGGTGCCAGCGACGCCAACCCAGTTCTCTAGTCTCTGTAAGAGGATCTCATGGTCGACGGTGTCAAAGGCAGCACTTAGATCTAACAAGATTAAGATTGAGACTGGGGTCTAAAGCCGGACTGAAACATATCAAATGAGTTGTTGAATATAAGAAATCTAGTAAGCTGTAGGTAGACAACTTTTTCAAGGACTTTCCCCATAAATGGCAGATTTGAGATGGGACGATAGTTGTTAAGTACCGTAGCATCCAGACTGCTCTTTTTTAGCAGGGGCCTGATGCAGTTTTCAGGGCCTTTGGGAATATTCCAGAATGAAGGGACATGTTTACTATCTGTGTGAGTGAAGGTAACAGACTGCTCAGAACAGACTTCAGAAATCTAGTGGGTAGTACATCCAGGCTGCATGTGGAGGAGCTCAAACTGGAGATTATCTCTTGGACAGTTTGATCATTTACAGGTGCAAAGTAAGTTAGCTCAGAGAGCCTTTCAGGCTGTTGGATGGTTATCTGTGGATTGGAGACAATGGCGTTTTTGATGCCTTGAACCTTGTCATTGAAAAAGTGTGCAAACTCATTGCATTTACGTTTGGAAGTTAGCTCTAATGGCATCTGAACAGGGGGGTTTGTTAATCTATTAACTGTTGAAAACAGAACACGCAGATTGTTACTGCAGCCTTCAATCATTTCAGAAAAATACCTTTCTCTCGTACTACGTAGCACCCGGTTAAACTCGCACAACTTATCCTTGAATATCTTGTAATCAACCTGGAGGTTGGACTTGCGCCACTTCCGCTTGACCCTCCGGCACTTTCTCTTCAGTGCTCTGACCGAGTCTGCTTTAGCCCACGGCGCCTTCTGCTTATTTTTCACTATTTTAACCTTCACAGGGGCAACGGTATCCAGAACATTCAAAACACTAGAGGTGACAGAGTTAAACAGTTCATCTACAGTAGAATACGATGCATTTTCAAAGTTTATCATTCCCATAAATAGTTCACTCGTATTTTCATTTATGTGTCTTCTTCGAACAGTTGCAGAGTCCACTGGTGGTTTGTTAGTGAAACACATGTATATAGTAACAATAGTATAAAGTAACAGTAGTATATAGTAACAGTAGTATATAGTGACAGGAGTATATAGTAACAGTAGTATAGTAACAGTAGTATATAGTGACAGTAGTATATAGTAACAGTAGCATATAGTAACAGTAGTATATAGTGACAGTAGTATATAGTAACAGTAGTATAGTAACAGTAGTATATAGTGACAGTAGTATAGTAACAGTAGTATATAGTGACAGTAGTATACAGTGACAGTAGTATAGAGTAACAGTAGTATATAGTAACAGTAGTATAGTGACAGTAGTATATAGTAACAGTTGTATATGGTAACAGTAGTATAGTGACTGTAGTATACAGTGACAGTAGTATATAGTAACAGTTGTATATGGTAACAGTAGTATAGTGACTGTAGTATACAGTGACAGTAGTATATAGTAACAGTGGTATATAGTAAGAGTAGTATAGAGTAACAGTGGTATATAGTAACAATAGTATATAGTAACAGTAGTATATAGTGACAGTAGTATATCGTGACAGTAGTATACAGTGACAGTAGTATATAGTAACAGTAGCATATAGTAACAGTAGCATATAGTAACAGTAGCATATAGTAACAGTAGTATATAGTAACAATGGTATATAGTAACAGTAGTATATAGTAACAGTAGTATATAGTAACAGTAGTATATAGTGACAGTAGTATATAGTGACAGTAGTATATAGTGACAGTAGTATAGAGTGACAGTAGTATAGAGTGACAGTAGTATATAGTAACAGTAGTATATAGTGACAGTAGTATAGAGTGACAGTAGTATAGAGTGACAGTAGTATATAGTAACAGTAGTATATAGTGACAGTAGTATAGAGTAACAGTTGTAAAGGACAGGTGTTAGTGATGAAGTGTCTTGAGTCGTTTGTTTTAAAATAAATCCATACCTGAAATATCTATGATTGATAAAACTGCAGTTGGTCCACATGTGCGCCGTAACCATGGTGACACAGCTGGTCAGAATTACAGGCTGCGTCCACATTCACCGAATCAGGACCAAAATACAGGTCTCTAAAAATACCCCTGATGCCCTCCCTGTGGTTAGCTTTGAGGCTCCTGCAGCTGCTGTGGTCCGGGGCCCTCTGTCATTAAGAGTCCCGCCCACAGACAGTCCAGGACCAGGGGCCAAAACCAGGGGCCAGAACCAGGGACCAGGACCAGGGACCAGGACCAGGGGCCTCTAAGGTTTCACAAGGACAGGAAATTATCTGTTACTGTTAGTGAGGAGTGAGGGAGAGATTAATCACAGGCCCAGGACTGGGTTCACTTGAGTTTGAGGCAGACGGGGAGTTGGCGACCTCTAGTGGTGATATAATAATAATAATAATACATTTTATTTAAAAGCGCCTTTCAAAACACCCAAGAACACTGTACAGGCATAATAAAAACATATATATATATATATATATATATGACTGTCACTTCTGTAATAGTAGTAGTAATGCTTTATAAAAAATAATAATGATAATGCAATGGAAGTGCAATGATAAAAACACATAAAGCTTATAGCCCATAGGGATGACCAATGTCCATGGATGTTAGTAGTAATAGCAACTTATATTAAACGTTTTTTGGACACTCAAAGACCTTCACACGTCATCATTCACGCCATGCATATAGGTAATAAACAACTACAGTAGAAACAGCTGCCCTGAGAAGTGAGGCAACCAGTATGAGCCATCGGCCCCTCCCACCACAACCAACCAGTAGTGTCAAATTGTGACTCACAGGGATCTTCCTTACAAGTTTGCAAATACAAAATGTATTTTGCTCAGCCCCATCAATATCGCTGCTAATCTCTAAGATGAATATAGATGGAATGGAGATATGACACATTCAGGGTCCATCATCAGAGACACGTCCGCAGCAGGTGCCTCTAGTGTCACCTCTTCATCTATTGTTGTGTTGCAGTGGAGCAGGAGCGGGACCTGCTACAGCCACGTCCGTACTGGAAGGAGTTTCGCTTCGACCTGACGCCACTGCCTCAGGGCGAGACGGTGGCGGCGGCAGAGTTCCGGATCTACAAGAGTCTGACGCTGGGACAGAGGGCCAACCGCACCCTGCACATCTCTGTGTACGAGATCCAGAGGGACAACAGGATCAGGTCAGTGCTCCTCTGAGTCCCAGCAGGAGGTCAGTGCCTGTGCTCCTCTGAGTCCCAGCAGGAGGCCAGTCCCTGTGCTCCTCTGAGTCCCAGCAGGAGGCCAGTCCCTGTGCTCCTCAGAGTTCCACAGCAGGAGGCCAGTCCCTGTGCTCCTCAGAGTTCCACAGCAGGAGGCCAGTCCCAGAATTGTCCTAAACCAAATCTCTTCACTGCATATTATTGCAACTTCATCAAAACCCAAACATATCTAACATATAAATTGTGTTCTGTTGTGTGGTCAGAGAGCCGGAGCTGGTGCTGCTGGACATGCAGTCGACCCCCGCGGGGCAGGAGGGCTGGCTCGCCTTTGATGTCACCTCAGCTGCAAACCACTGGCTCCTGCACCCCCGCAGTAACCTGGGCATCCGGCTTTATGTGGAGACAGAGGAGGGTGGGTCTTCAGACACTACACACACTCACACAGTCCAGCAACAGGATAGATTTATGAATGAAGTCTTTCTCCAGCAGCAGAATCCACTTCAGCTTAATCCAATACAATTCATGTTCACTGAGAAATCTAGGTTCATAAATATCAACAATTCTTTTAGTTATACTCAATTTTCAATACTCGTATATGTACTTACTCGTGCATATACTGCATGTGACAGCCAGATGTACCAAACTACAACTTGGACTCTGGGGAGCACAGGGACTGGCCTCCTGCTGGGACTCTGAGGAGCACAAAGTCAAGACGAAACATGGGGAGGCAGAATTTCAGATTTATGCAACTAAAATATTGAACAGTTTTCCTGAGGCTGTGACAGAGGCCTCTACCCTGATCCTGTTCAAAACTAGGCCAAAAACACATCTGTTTAGCTGTGCATACAACTGATTCTATTTTGTACCATTTCTCTCTTTTGAAACCATCCATTTTTCCATCCATCCATTTTCTCCCCTTTAATCCATTTCTGGGTCAGGGGGGTGGCAATCAGAGATGCCACCCAAGTCTCATAGCACCAGCCCCTCACTGACCCTCTGCAGGTGGTGAGTCCACAGGAGGACGGCTGCTCTGAGTGTGAGCATAGCCTTGATCTTTCAGTGGGGGCTTTTGGGCAAAGTGGGGTTAAGTGTCTTGCCCAAGGACACAACGACAGCAGTCATCAGTGGGAGTCGGTGGAGAAGGTGCAGAGGTGGGAAACCAAGACTTTAAAAAGACTTTTAAGCCCAATATGCAATACTTGAGTTTTGATGTTTCTTGTTGCCTTTTGCTTTCCTTCTCTGTTTATTAATTGCACCCGTGGAGCGCTTTGAATTGCCTTGTACAATTTATGTAGAATTGTGCTGTACAAATAAATGTTGATTGATTGATTGTGTTGTCGTCTCCTCAGATCGCTCGCTCTCGGCCGGTTGGATCGGTTTGGTGGGCCGCAGAGGGCCTCGCTCCAAACAGCCGTTCATGGTGACGTTCTTTAGAGAAAGTCAGGTCCCGTGTCGACCTCCGAGAGCCGTCAGGCCGCATCAGAGGCGCAGGAAACCCAAACCAGACCTGCCCATGCCCAGCATCCACAGTCAGTCACTGTCACTCTGCATAACGAGTACACTGTTAATGTTGATATGAACTGATACTATGTTGGTATTAGGGATGTAAAAAACCTATGAATTTTCATGACCGACCACCGAGCTTCATTACCCGGTTGAAACCGGTTAACCGCGTTGTTTAAAATATTCCACGTTCACGATCAGAGCCGAGACAGCGGAGCGATACCTGCAACAGCTTCGGCAGCTTTGCGCACAGAGAACTGCTTTTTTAATCTTCCCATTCTTTTAACATTCCCATTCGGGTTAAAGCTGTTTTGCAGCAAACGACGGCTCGTCCACATGGTCAGAGCAGTGAGTGACGAGCCGCGTCTCGCAGGTCTCCTCTAAAGTTGCTGATCTAATGACAAGGACCATCAGCTCAAACATGTTCCCATGTGGTTTGACTGAAGCCGCGTATTTGCGAGGATCCTTTGGGCTGCGTGACACAGATGAGCGCGACAGATCGGTATGTGTGTATATGTATGTGTGTAAGCTCCAATGGAGTTCTAACCCGCACAAGTGTACAACTTTGGCGGACTAGTAACGGAGGGGAGAGATGGACGAGAGTATGGATGATGCGTGTGGATGTTACGTATGAATGGAACGGGGAAAAGGTGCGTGTGTGTGTGTGTGTGTGTGTGCGCAGCGCGTGCGGCATGAAAGTCGGCCCAGAGTTTACAGATACATTGGCGAGACGGACCCGCTCCTTCACACTGTGCGAATAGTGTTTAAAATAGCGTTATTAAGAGACTCCCCCTTTTATTTTTTTAACCGACAGCTTTGACCGATTAACGCTGTGAAGGTCAACCACCGGTTAAACCGTCCCCGATTTACATGCCTAGTTGGTATGGTTTTATAAAGCTTTGAAATGACAGCATTAGTTACAATATGTTTCATTGAACGTTACAAAAGTTGTTGATTCACCAGCAACAGATCAGAGAACACAGGAAATTAATTAATTAATTAATTAATTGTTTATTGGGTTGGGACAGTTAATGAACACATCACTCCGGATTATAGCCTAGGGCTAATTTGCAAACTCCACTCAGAAAGGCCCTGTTCCGACCGGGATTCGAACCCAGATAATGTTCTGGATCATCACTGGCCTTAGATCCAGGACTGAGGCTGTAGACCCAGGACTGAGGCTGTAGACCCAGGACTGAGGCTGTAGATCCAGGACTGAGGCTGTAGACCCGGGACTGAGGCTGTGTTTCCTTCTAGACCACACTCCAGTGAACACCGGCGCCCCCTGCCAGAAACATGAGCTCTACGTCAGCTTCAGTGACTTGGGCTGGAAGGTCAGACCTCTATCATCATCTTTTCTCTTTTCTTCTTCACAAAACCACTTCCCAGTCATCTGTTTGGGTCATTTTTTACTCTGTCCCAGGGGTCTTTAACATCACCTGTATATATTATATATAACAGCCAAGATGTATTACATTATTATTCTCTTGATGTTTTTCTGTTTCAAAATTATTTATTGAAATTATTCAACATTCAAGTTATTCAAGACATTTTGGATTTTCTTTTTTAATTGCAGGAAAAAACATATATTAAACGAAAAGCCAGTTCCTCTCAGATCCACTGACTGCTCCCATCAGATCCACCATTGTTTTAATGTTGATATTTTGCACATGTTAAAATTGGTCAATCAAAAACGGCATTCATCCCAAACCTTGAGTCTCTCTCTCTGGGTTTCAGAAGGATGAGGAATTAGGACCCCCGCTTTGTTTTTACATGTTAATTAATTTGAGAATGCGAATGGAAAAAGGCTCTCTCAGGTTGTGTAAAAACAGAACGCTGAAACTATGAGAGCTGATGTTTCTGTGTCCCGGCTGCTGATTTCAGGATTGGGTGCTGGCGCCCACGGGATACTTGGCGTATTACTGTGATGGAGAGTGTTTCTATCCTCTGGGCTCCTGCATGAACGCCACCAACCACGCCCTCATCCAGCAGGTGGTCAGTATCTACACTCCACTCCATAAAGGATAGTTTCTTGTGTGCCGTCTGCTTGAAGGTGTATTTCGTTTTGATATTTTACACTATTATGACTGTTTTTATTGCTTTATTCTGATGACTGTAAACACTATATTCAATTTAATTTATCTTTGTATCGCACTAAATCACAGCCGTTTCTGATGATTTTTATAGATTTTTCAAGACCCACAGAATATTGTGTACTATGACTATCTGAAATCCAAAACCATATTCTGAAAGAGTGGACTGTCTACTTTCATCAGCAAAAATAATTTTGTTTCTAGCTGGTTTCGTTCCCCTGTAATCCTCTGTCAAATAGAGGGAAGTTTTACTGAAATCACCAGAAAGCTGATAAAAAAAGAGGCACATCTTGCATCTAACTGTTTTCAAACCATTCAGAGAGCAATGCTGCCACCTGCTGGCTCGATAAAATATTGCTTCAAGCCAATCCCCATACATATTAGATACAATAGACATCTGGGAACGTGAAAATAGCGGGACACGCACAATGAGTTAATTTCCTGTGTTCCATTTACAAGGAGCATAATGAGAGAAAGCTGCTTCTCCCACCTTCAGCTGAGGCCCAAGCATCTGAGACCTCACACAAAAGGCACAAGTCAATCCAAAATATAAGCAGCCTTCAGACTGTGGAGGCTTTAGAATCAACCTGAAGGATGTAGAAGTCTGAACCGAGAACCAGTGCAAATCCCTCAGAGTGATTGTTGTATTCAAAGATCAAACTGTTTTTATTGGTCGATTTCATAGTGACACCTTGTTTTATTCCTGTGCTTGTCTGGTGCACACTGTGGACTTTTGCAACTGTATTCCAATGTGGTTTTAATAAATGTACATTCTGAGATTATTAAAATCTAAAAAGTGAAATTTGCACAATATAGAACCACGTGCAGCCCCCAGACCCTCATGCATCTAACATGATGTAAACATATAACTATATATTACTAGAATATACAGCATTTTATATTTGCTCCTTATTTTGCTAAATTCAGGGTTTTTTGTACTTATCTCTCTGTGCTAAAGATAGAGTTGGTATTATGCTTCTTTTTATGCTAGAGTTAGAGCTTTTATTTTACTTTAGTAAAATAAAAGCTCTAACTGGTGACGCAACACTGACATTTCCCCGCTGTGGGATGAATATTGCATCTCTTCATCTTAATAATCTGAATCCGGATGGTCCCGTGTGTTGAAGGTGCACCTGCTGAAGCCCACAGAGGTCCCCAAAGCCTGCTGCGCTCCCACCAAACTCAGCCCCATCTCCGTCCTGTTCTACGACGACAACAACAACGTGATCCTCAAGAAACACCGCAACATGGTGGTAAAGAGCTGCGGCTGCCTATAGCACCACACACACACACACACCCGGTACACAATGAACTATACATACACTATACACTCCCATGTGAACTGTACATACATCGCACAATACAGGACCATGTGAAGGATACTGAAGAAGCAGCAGCTTGTATCATGTGGAGGAATAAGGAAATGGTGAAGATGGTTTTTTCACGTGCCTCCAACTTTGTCTAATCCATAACGCGCGGCTCATAGTTATACTGAGATTTACAGCCAAATCTTTTTACGTATTGTATTTATTTATGGTATTTCAAAATAATCAAACGTCTCAAACTTTGCCATCTCAGTACGAGCCTTTATTATTATATTTGACACTGTTTCTGTGGAAATGAACCGGAGCAGAGGGTTCCAAAGCTCTGGCCTGTGGGAGCCTCAGCACCGCTCTCTCAAGTCTCTGACAAAATATCAACTGTATCAGAGTTCACCCTGATGTAACAAAATGTAATGCTGATTTTGTCCAAATTAAACCTTTATGTTTGAATTCATGACCTTTCTCCATTATGAACTACGATGGAGAAACGGAGGCTTTCCATAATGTAAACTTTTTTTTATAATTTGTGCATTTAGTAAACTCCAGCGTTAAATGTTTGAGAGAAGATTTAGTATGAGCCGACTGTAAAAAATATAATGAAACATATGCATAGTTAAATTGCAACAACAGATAAGTTCCATGAGAAAATCATTTGAAAAGCTTAACATTGGCCCTTCACAAAGTTGTTTTTTTAAAAGCCAAATCTATTTTAGTGCAATACAAATATATAGCAATAGCAAAACAAGCTCAATTTGATTGTAGATAGAGGAATATATTTTGTTGATATTCTCAAAACTTCTGTTTTTGCAAAAGGACTTCATATGTTGAGAATATTTTGTATTTAAAAGTAAATAAAAGTCAGAACGAGTGAATAAGTATCTAGACAATGCTCCTGTGATTGAATGAGGGTTTATTCCACTGGTAAAAAATGACTTTAATGTTGTAATTCGATCTAGTGTTGGGTTCTGGGACTATATCGCTCAAAATGGTAGAAGACAAACCAGATCTATGCTAAGGATTTTCTATGGATAAAGATAGACGAATATTCTCTAAATTGTATGCGTTTCACAGACGTATAGATTCTATCAGTGTGTGATTTATCTGTAGATACCATGAAATGGTAGTTATTTTTTCTACAGTAACATTAAAGTCCGGTTGTAGAAGTCTTTAAAGGTGCTCAGGACTCACATGTGGTTTGGATCTGCCCCGATTTACAAATATCCTCATGTTGATTTTAGATTTGTTTAAACTATTTTCTGATACAGAATGAAAACGTAGATATTGTATTGATACGAGGCCGTAGAGAGAACAGGAGCTGGGGTACCTGAGATGTTTCGTTCTCAAAACTAGATGAACATGTTTGTCTTCTGAACAAATCGAGACACCTCAAACTTTTGTGATTGGCTGAGCAGGAGTGCACTTCTCTCACTTTTGCATCTGAAAAATCTGATCTAAAATCTGTAGAGACAAAGACGGTACATGCAGTGAAAACTAGTGATGGATGCAAACTGTTCAGTGAGGAGCGAGTCAGGTACCCCAGCTTTAAATACAACTCGTCAATTATTAGATGAATCAGCTTTGAACCTGCCGAAGACATTTTAAACCTCAGAACAAAACCAATCCCACTTCTCTAGAAAGAGATGGGTTTTGATAATTTGCATTTTAAAAAATCCCATAATCTCAGCCTCTTCTAATCCATTAATGAATATTGAATAACATTAAACAAGGCAGGATGAGAAAGACAGTCACCAAAGAGCGATCGTTTTAAATACATTGAGTTTATTCAAAAGGGTAAAAAAAGTTTGAAATCAAATTAGTGACATTTCACTTGATAAGCTTTGAAACTACAGGGACCAATAACTCAGTCTCTCCTTCTGGGGCCGTTAAAGAACATTCAGAAAAACAACGTGGGGCTTCATGGAATGGAACAAATGTTTAAATGAAAGTCGTCCTATGTTATTATTGCAGGTTGTGTGTCGTGTAGCAGCAGCGAGTTATTGTAAAACTTAAGTCAATGAATACTGGTTTGTATGACGGCTGATGTGAAAAGAAAAGCTTTAATAAAAGTTAAAATTGTTCTTTTTCACACCAACTTTTGCTCTAGTCCTGAGTGGATTCTTTCAAGTCCATATTCTTGTGTGTCATGTGATCTCGCATTACAGACCAGACTTTGTGGACTCAAAGATACATATCCCACATAATTAGTAACGCATGCATTTCATGTTGGATGTTCTGAATGAAAAAAGATGAATGTATCAAGACGCTTTAATATTCAGCTGGAAATCAGAGAAACATCGACTGCTTCAGAAATGAGACAGAGCTGCGTTCACCTTCAGGAGTTTTAAGATTGAATCAACTGATAAATGACAGCAACGACAAGTCAATTTGTTACTGTTATATTTATGATTCCCATATTGAACTGTGTGTCTTTAAACTGAGCTCCACATAAGGATTTAAAGACGGTCCCAATTCTTTCTGCTGAGATTTGAAATATTTCTTGTCTCTACGTGCACTGTCAGAGGAAACAGCAGATGCAGCTGAAGATTAGGTTTTTCTTTAAGCAAAAGTAACAGCACAGCGCTGCCAAATCGTCTGCGCATCACAGATTTAGACTGGAAAATCGGCAAGATAAGGAATGATTCGAACATGCTTTATCTTTAAGTGTTTACATAGCAAGGGATAACTATGGAATGACCAAAAGCTGAGAAAAATGTTGCACACAGCTCAGTAATCTAAAGTTCTCCAGCTTAAAGTCAAAACATCTCGAAGCGTGAACGCAGCTTTTAACAACTCTCTGAACTTCTGTGACTCATGATTTCTGCTTTTGTGGATCTGGTCCCTGCTCTGGAAACATGTCGCTTTAAACATAATAAATACAAAGGTGTGTGGTGCGGCTGGTGTCCTTCTGCGGCTGCGACGTGTTTTACTTTCACAGAATCACAAATGTTCACACGGCACACGCACAACTGTGGCGCAGCTCCCTCTGCCGCCTACAGGGGGCGCCGCTGGTCAAGGTCAGGGTCATCTCTTCAGATTGTGGTCGAGCTTCTGCCAAAACAAGAGGAGGTAAAGTTACAAGAGAGAAGTACGTCGCCATGACAGCCACACACAAGACATTTATTGAAAGACATTAAAAAAGTGTGAAATAACTTATGTTTTAGTAACATCAAAACAGAACAAATGGAACAAATTAAAACCGATTCTAGACCAAGGACAATACTGGATCTGAACCATAACCACAACTCAACTTTTTCTTAATAGACTTTTCCTGTTTGCAATTAAATACTTTTACCAGTTGCTTTAAAGCTGGGGTACTCAACTTACCCTAAACCCTAGAAGTAGTCAAAGAGTGTGTTTTCAAACAGTAATGGAATTGACCAGATGCTTATAGTCTCCAAAAGTTAAAAAGACTTGAGCGGACCGATAAAAATAAACCAATGGGATTCGTTCATCCACAACAAAGGACTGAACAGAAAATACAATTTTCGCGTTTGCCACCCTCTTGTCACAAAGAAAAGAAAATGCTGGATGTTTGGTTTGGTGGAGAGGCGACAAATTATCTTGTATCCAAAAAATGTCTTCCTTGGAATATGAAAACACTTGATTCAAGTATTTATCACCTCATAATTTTATATTTGTTTGCAGTGTAGACAGATTTGTGTTTTGAAAATTAGGAACCATCCGCTTTAACTCATGTTGCTGTGTGAGAGACCAACCCTAAAATCTGCAGCCAATGAATTCAGTTTATCTTGTGTGGCGCAAAAATACATTAAGACTAGAGCTGCAACTAACGATTATTTTGTAATCGATTAATCTATCGATTCTTTTTACGATTAATCGAGTAATCGCTTGGCTGTGAATTGTGTAGAAAAAAATTATTTTTTCATCACAAAAAGCTAAAGTGGCAACACTCGAGGACGTATTGATGGCGTAAACTTAAAGTAACTGTTTGTAACAGGCTCTTTGTGCTAATTCTGCTCTGATTGGATGAGACAGACAGATATTCATGAAATTATAAAAACAAAGTCGGTTTTAATCAAAAATACTACATTTTCATGTCATTTTTGCTCCGTTTGAGTCCGTGTGAACCAGAAAACGATTAATCGATTAGTTGTTTCAGCCCTAATTAAGACTTTATGAGTTTAAGTGAGTGAAGTTATTATTTTGACTCCCTCCAGGTTTAGCAGCTACAGACGACGTGTTTATGTGTTTCTTTTCAAATGTTGTAAACATTGTACCAGTTTCCACAGAGTCTTTATGCCTGGACGTCAGCCAGCTCAGGGGGCATCGGAGACTTGGGGTGTTTGCTCTCGAAATGCTGCTTGAACGTCTTGGGGTCTGGCATCTGGGTCTGAGGAGGAGGAAACAACCACATCAGAGAGAGAGGAAAGAGTAAAGAAACTAATGTGAGTTTAGACAAATTTAGCAGAGTTGGGAAACTATTAGCTGTTGGTGCCATATGAACCAACTCTGAGGAGCACAGGGACTGGCCTCCTGCTGGTCCCAGAGTCAGGACGTGAGGAGGCAGCATTTCATATTTATGCAGCTAAAATCTGCAACAGTCTTCCTAAAAATGTGAGACAGGCTTCTACACTGACAATGTTCAAATCTGGGTTATAAACCGTTCTGTTTAGCTGCATACCACTGAAGTATTATTTAAAATTGTAATACCTGTGTGATCTTGTTTATATGTTGTTTTGTACATTGAGATGTCTTGTGTAGTATAAACTGCTATACAAATAAACTTGCCTGGCCTATATTATATACAAATTCAAAAGTTTTCCCATTGGACATACGAGACATTATCCAATAACAAAAGCAGACCCATAAAAATGTCTTAAGTTGTCTACAACTAAGAAAAACCATTGAATTCTTGGGTTTCATTAAACTGGCCAGTAGGGGGCGAATGAGCAGAGGTGGGACAACTCAGTTTTGCTCCCATTGAAAACCATGTAAAGTCTGTTTTTCGAGTCAAAAGGCTCTCCTCCTGTGCGGTGTACGGTTGTTGGAACAGTCGTAATCGGGGACACTCAGTTCTAAGGGAGTACTAACAAATATTTCTTAAAAGTCTTGATTTCGGAATTTGCTGCGTTTAATTCGGGTGGCCTGCAGGGGGCGCTTATCTGGGAAAGCCTTGATCCACCTCGCCCAGTGATTTTTTTCAAAGTGTCCTTTATATGAGACCACAGTAGGAACAAAAAAGAAACTTGTCTTTCTATTTGTGCGGTTGCTACAACCGCACACCGTACAAAAAAAATGGCATTTTGACAGCGCCTCTTCTATATCTCCGTGTATAAACCCGGCAGACTGCACCGCCAGGATACGTCAAGTCCAGTCCGGTCCTGTCCCACGTATGTCATTCGCGCCACTGCCCCGACCTCGACCTCATATGAAACACAAATTTACTACGTTTCTGGCCACTGTAACTTTGCTGATATTGTTTGTGGCGTGATCCTTGTTGGTTTTCTGCTTTAGTGTGAGACTCACGCGGCAGACCGGGCAGGTGTGCACCAGCGCCGCTTTGGCCGCCGTCTTCTGGTCGGCTGCTTGACCCTTCTTCTTGTCCGCTGCTTTTTTGGCGTTTTTCTGCTGGGACTGAATCTTCTGCTGCCCACGAGCCATGGCTCTCAGCTTCTGATGGAAAAACAAACTTAGTATTTCACGAAAAACCCCATAGACGAAACAACACTGACTGAAATAGACTTGCATTATTTCTGCGATGATAATCTGTGGCCAGATTGTCATCGCAGAACATGCAAACTGCACTGGTACTCTAAAAAAAAAAAAAATTTTTAAAGACTACATAATCTCAGAGAAAAGTATGGAAATTATTTACTCTTTAAATAATTAATGGACATATTTACAGTGTAATCACTGTTTATTTGAGCCATTCCTTGCTGATGCAGAAAGGTCAAAAGACAGTGACCATCCGAGACTCTGCACATTCATGGTCAGTCAGTGGTCATTCTGCTCCCTATGGACCAATGATTCCTATGTGCATAATATCATTTAATTATCTGTGTTTGAACTGTTTGATTCTCGAAACTGTTGTTGCAGAATCAACAACTTTGTAAAGTCCTCAGAGACGACAGTTGTATTAATAGTTCATACATGAGCAGGATATGACAAACAAAACATACAGAACTAAGCCAAAGGATTATCTTGTAAATTTCGCCATTGTGAGATCCATAAAGTTTCTTATCTGAACTTAAAAGCATGGATAATCAAAAATGTTTTCGCTGAGAATTAAGACTAAAAATCAGATCTGACATTTTTTGGGGCTTTAATCTTTGTGTGGTTCCGTGCAGAGGAATGAAAACTGTAGTGCAGATGTCCATTCAGATCCACAACAAACCCACACTAGTCATGTAGGGTCGTGCTAAGCTCCGCAGAAGCTATGCTACTTAGAGAAAATCCAGACATAAACTTTACCATCAAACTGATCTGTGGGCATAATGACTGCAGGACACGGCTTCCCCACCCTTTAGCTTTTAGCACAACAGCTAACGTTAGCATCAGGTAAGCATTAGCAGCACCACCGCCAGGAATTCATAAAATCAAACTGAATTCACACTTGCAGACATTTGATGTAATAATATATAAAATACCAACGTCCATATATTGATGTGTGTAAACATACTATCAGATTCAAGAATAGTTAATGCTCGCCGGCTCCCCAGCTCAGCGCTAAGCTAACATCACAGTGTAGCACGAGAGCTGTTAGCTAGCCATAAAATCTCAGTATTTCGTCCAGGGCAGAATGAAATATTAAAACTGCGTGGCCATTTAATATTCTTAAATTGCAATTGAGAGTCATAGTGAGGTTACGGTAGGGTAAATAACAGTTCATTTTGTTAGGTTTGGGGATACGGTAAGAGTTAGACTAGACTAGCTTGCCGAGGGACGAAATACCAAGATTCCAAAAGTCCCCGGGAGCTAACGCGAAGCTAACTGCTACATACGAACAACATGTGAAACCAGTTCAACCTCTCACAGCGAATCTGCATCTAAACACACCGGCCTGGTGCTGTAGCTCTGCAGACACAGACACGCAGCTCTATGAGGAAAATGAAACTCGTGAAATGTGTTTCAAAAAAGAGAACGTCTTTTACCTTCGAGGATCGCCTCTTGTCGCTTTGGTCGTTCTCAAACAAATGCTCAAGATGAGACCGCGACAGCACCACCCAGCGGCCTGGCCTGGTATTACAGCGAGTTTACAGTACATCCATTTAATACATTCATTTATCATTAATTGTTGTGAAGCTAAAGCTGGGATATCCAACTTTCAAAAACACACAATATTGAACTAGCGTTAAGTCAAGTTGCTAGTTATATGAAAGTTTGTTTTAGAATCAGAATCATTTTTATTGCCACGTAAGTAACAGGAGGTCACAGACTTGGAAATTGCTTTGGCTCAGTGCAACAGTCAGAAAGAGATCATAAAAATAAGAATAAAAACACTTCTAAAGAATAAATTTAAATTTAAAATAGAGTTACAGTTACTATTTACAATATACAAGTGCACATGGTGAATTTTTAATAACTAGTTTTGAAATTATTTGGCCTCGATCACATCTTCAGATCAGCTTTTCAAGTATGCAAAAGACCCATTTTCTAATCAGATGAAGACAACATGTTGTGGTGAATGTAGTCTAATAAGTTCACTATTTTACCTTTACAAGTAAAATATACTATTAATAGAAAAAAAGTTTAGCTACATCAACTCTTAAAAGTCTACTCTGGCTTTGTATCAACATAGATGTATTTCACCCCTTTGGGAATATCATGTTGCATCAAGAATTGAGTTTGCATTTGTATTAAATTAGGGCAACTTGAATGGACTAATGTGGAGCAAAAACATTTCTATTTTTGTAATTATTTTGAGCTTATGCAGCATGTGGATTGATTACATGTGTATTTTTTGCATTGTGTAAAATTGTCAGAAATGAGCCAAACCTGCAAACTATTATGTTTGTCGCCGTATTAATCGAGCAGCAACAAATATTTTATCTGTGGTCAGACAAAATCACTTGAGCCACAAATCAGAATCCAAAGATCAGGGGCCATATTCCTAAAGATTCTTAGTGCTAAAAGTTGCTCCTAGTGGCCAAATTCTAAGAATTTTCTTAGAATCTTGACCAACTCTTAGAATTTCCCCTAAAAGTGAGGAGTAGCTCCTAGTTAAGATAAAAGCTATTCCTAAAAAATCCTAGCTCTTAAGAGTGCTCTTAAGGGGAGATCCCTTAAGAGTTGAGAGGAGGACTTTTAGCGACTTAAAAGTTCCCTAAGAGCACAAAATGGTGGACGGTGGAGACAGGAGAAATATTCTATACACTGGATGACAGTGAATCAGTGAAACGCTACAGATTCAAGCAGGAATCATGTTTGTGGTATATTTAAAAGTCAATCATGTGACCAGCTTCTCATTGGCTGGTCAGCAATAACACCTCATCCATTTTACCTTTGTTACACAAAAGTAAGTAGAAATGGTAAAAGTTGAAAGAGAGGAAAAAGTGGTCCTAAATTGTCACACATTCAGTACGAATGAATGAATACTTTATTTTGAGCCATGGCAAACAAGAAAAAAGGACAAAACAAACAAAACAACAACAGAATAGAAGTACAAATATACAGTTTTGTTTTATTAACAACAATCCAGCTCAAAAAGGAGTGGGAGAGGATAAGACTTTTAAGCTCCCTTGTACTTGATTTGTACAGTGTATGTATAATATGTTTATATTAATATTGTTTCCTTAATTCCTTATAAGTCTATACATATCACAGCCTTTACTAATCCTAACGTTATCATTATCATCATTTATCCATATAATAATAATTTTCTTTATCATGTATATTATATATAGAGTAATATTTAAATGTATATATATATATATATATATTATATATATATATATATTAGTGCTCATGATATATACGTATTATGTGTGATAAATTGGTGCTGAGCAAGCTCTGATGATGTGGTGTATAAGTCTAACTTTACTATTCACAGTATTTATGTACCATTGATATATCTGACTTTATAGCTTTTGGTTATTATTTACAATAACACAGTGTTCCTAAGATTAGATTCCATGATTGAGTTTGTCCATTTTAGGGCCCTTATTTTGCCTATTATCATCAAAAATATGTTTGTTCTAACTTTTAGGATCAACCAATCACAGCGTCTGAAATGATGACTCATACCTAGCAACGGGGTCGGCCACGCCTCCTCACTAAGATAAAAGTTGTAGTCAATTCCTTGCTCAGAGTTCTCTAAGAGTGTTCTGGAATAACTTTTAAGCTAAGACTCCTAGCTAGGAGTTTTTAGGTTAAGATAAGAGCTCTCTGAGAGGACTCTCAGAATCTTTAGGAATACGGCCCCAGTATTTCAGACTGAAATGATCCTCCACCTGTGAATTTTTAAACGCAGTAAATGCTCTTTATATTACAGTATAAATCAGTACAGTAGTTATGCACATCTGAACAAAGCACTCGGAGCCAACAGTCACAGTTTCATCACTTTATTCCAGTAAATGAGCCGATATCGTACGCACACAGAACGACAGACACGTTGCTTCTCTCTCTTCCTCCGGCTTCAATCTCGGCGCCAATAACACTGTCAGAAATCACTTTTACAGTAACAGTCTTGAACGTGTGCTCACTGTTCTCCCCTGCTGCTCATGACTGGAACTTTTGACCATCAAAAAAGTGTTAGTTTGAAAACCTCAAGACAGATTCAACAGAAAGTTTAGTCGTGGTTCTCTCTAGAATCTTGTCCAGTCAAAAGTGCAGGGTTCTGCTTTAAGTGACAAGTAACAGGCTGCGTTCACAACTAAAGATTTTGGTAATTTCAGAAGACGTCTGTACCGTTTTTATTATTTCTGTTGACTGAAGAATTTGAACTTCATACCAGGATATATTTGATGTGGTCAGAGCCAGTATTTACTCAGTTCTAAACCAGAAACCAAGCAAAGAAATCAGAATAAACTTTAAAGCAGCTCTATTTGTGTCTCTTCATGGCTTTGCACCACAGTACATCTGCGACGTGTTAGTTTCTTAATGTGCTGTGATTATTCATGATTTTAATTGACTGTGTGGTTTTAATGTTTCTTTTTCTGGTTTTGCCAAGGACTATTATGAGTTGCCTTGTGTATGAACTGTGCCATACAAACACTTGTCTTGCCTAAATATCAGAAATAATAATCAAAAGGCTCAATCAGGCTTAACCAATATACAAAAGCACTGAAATTCAATAAAAAAATCATTTTGAACTCTCAAATCGTCTATATTATTACATTACCTTGTCTTAATGAACGCAGCCTCTTACCCTTGGTCTAAAGCCGTCGTCACAAACACAGTCTGCGCTCGTTGAGAAAGAGGAAGAGAGGAAGAACTATCAACACATGAGGAGTTGACAAGATCATTTTTATCTTTTTTTTTCTTTTGCCGTATTTACATTCTATATTGTGAAAAAAAATATTTACAAAAAATGCACAACCTAAAAGTCTTAAAAGTGAAGTGGGCGTGAAATATAAACGATAAAATATAATATTAAAACAAGGGAAAGGTCAACGCTCGTGGTATTTACATGTGCGGCAATAGTCGTCAGCAGAGGTTAGATGGCTTCGTTAAGTGTTTTTATTTTTGTCAAATTAACTGCTTTTTTTGTGCGAACGCTGAGTTTTTGATGCCTTTCATTGCTTCACCAAGTGTGCGAGCTCGTAGCATCAAATCGCATTCGGCAAGATCCTCAATATTTGTTTTTAAATCGGCAGTAAAGTAACCAACCCGGCAGAGGTCATAGGGACGAAGGCAAATATATTAAATTTCAAATGGAGAGAAGAAGAGGCCGAACGCAGCCCTTAGAATCAAACAAAAACATCGCAAATAAGAAAAGATGGCGGCAGTGGGTACCATTGTATCAAATATACTATTCTACAAACTTTCAAGTGGTCAGTACTGAGCGGTGGTCTCGTTTTTACGCAGCTCTAGACTAAGACACAAGCTTCATTGGACGTTGGTCAGACAGGGAGGGACAGAGATACATTCGAGGGCCCCAGGAACTAAAGACTCGGCAAAAAAGACGTGATTCAAGGCGTGGTCCCAAAGAGAAAATAAATGTACGAACGCCATTTCACATTTAAATCCATTTTCCATGAGAACCACTGATGGACGTAGACCCTGGTTAACGAGAAAATATCATAATTTCTGCACAAAAAACAGCAAAAAATCGTTTTTAAAAAAATCACGATGTACGTCTTATACGTTTGGCTCTATGGCTACTGCGAAGGCTCATTGGAAAACGAGGAAAGTCAACGTACTGAGAAACCATTCCGACAAACACCAAAATTCCCGTCTGTTAATAGTTTCTACTGGCTGTCGAGTTTATCACATGTTTTTACAACGTCGATTTTTAAATATTTCTCTAAAAAACACCAGGAACGACAATTTCAGCGCTAATAAACCAGTCGAGATGGAGGATTCCTGTGCTCTCGGTCTGTGTCGACTTTAAAATTGCCTACTGTACAATTAGTGTTTCGGTTAAAAGCCACACTTAAAATCAACAGCGTTCCAACTTCTCGTGTCTCTTTTTTTATCTCAAAAAATACAATATTTACCACAGAAAAGATCCATCGAGTTTTAAAAGAGAAAAAGGACAGAAACACCGACCCCCACAGCTGTGATTAATGAGTGAATATATATAGTTTAGTCTATGGTAAAGCAGGTTACAATAGATTTCTGACCTAAAATTCAGCTAAAGCTTTGTTAAAAACAGATTTAACACCCTACAAGCCAGATTTATTTTATTTTATTGTAATCCTAACTATTTTGCGTGTGATTACCCAGTGTCTGTGTCTGAAAGAACTTTGAAAGAAGGAACATCGGCACCAAACCATTACATAACAAAAGCTTTCAAACTAAACCACAGATGCTCACTGGATTCTGACGTCAGATTAAAGCTGGGGGACCTAACTTTCAAACTACAACCAAATCCATCCAACTGTGGTTCCTCGATCTCAAAACGGTCGATAGTTTTCACTTGGAAACTCGGATGTGTTGTTGGAATCTGTCACATCTTTAGATCAGGGGTTAGAGTTGGAAAAGAAAAACTGCCGTATGAACCAACCGAGACTCTGAGGAGCACAGGGACTGGCCTCCTGCTGGGACTCAGATGAGCACAGGGACTGGCCTCCTGCTGGGACTCAGATGAGCACAGGGACTGGCCTCCTGCTGGGACTCAGATGAGCACAGGGACTGGCCTCCTGCTGGGACTCAGATGAGCACAGGGACTGGCCTCCTGCTGGGACTCAGATGAGCACAGGGACTGGCCTCCTGCTGGGACTCAGATGAGCACAGGGACTGGCCTCCTGCTGGGACTCAGATGAGCACAGGGACTGGCCTCCTGCTGGGACTCAGATGAGCACAGGGACTGGCCTCCTGCTGGGACTCAGATGAGCACAGGGACTGGCCTCCTGCTGGGACTCAGATTTTTAAGCCTTGTGTGATTGAGTCTTGTTTAGTTTTGCACTTCGACTTGCATGAAGAACTAAAAAATATTAAGACCTTTCCTTCATGTAATATCAACGAAATCAGAAAGTTAGGTACCCCAGCTTTAAGAGGAGCAGTTGTCAAATTGTGGTTGACCAAAACACCTTTTCCCTTCCAGCCACAAAAACCTACTTCAGGAAGTGGCGTCCTGAGGTGGGAGGAGTCTGCTCTACCCTGATCTCCAAGGGACCAATCAGGCGTCAGACCTCCGACAACAGAAGAGAAACGACAACGAAACAGAAAACATTATCAAAAAATATAATCTGAAACAGCTCCAAAAAAAAAAAAAAACCACGTCTTGAGAGATTCCCATGATGCAGTTTCCAAGTAAAAATAAATAAAACACGACGAAAAAAATTAAAAGAAGTCTATCTTAAGAGAAAGAGGACCAGCCCCTGAACCTTCACTTCCCACTGAGGCAGCACTGAGGTAAAAACGTGAGCGCCCCCTGCTGACGGAGGCCTCAATGCGTTCACAGAAACATGAGAGGGACCAACGGAAGAGGAGGAGGACTCAGGGGGAGGAGGGGAAGGAGGGGAAGGAGGGGGAGGAGGAGGAGAGGGAAGGGGAGAGAGGGGACAGAGAGAGGGAGAGAGAGAGAGAGAGAGAGAGAGAGAGAGGGGTCAGATGCTGTTCAGAGAGCCCTGCACTGAGCTGTGCTGGGACGAGTCGGAACAACTGCCGTCTGTAAGAACACACAGAGTTATGTCAGTGATGTCAGGGTTAAAGCTGGGAGACCTAAACCTAAAGCAGAGTCCGTACCGTGAGCTGAGGCGACTGTGTGAGAGCGGGCGTGAGGAGGGATGAGCGTGGAGTTGAGCTGAGGCTGGATCGATAGCTCTGCAAACACAGAATGATAAGATTACTTTGTAGACTCAAAGAGACAGCAGAAAAAAAGGAAACATGAAGTCTCTGCTCAGACTGCTGCCCCAGCGACCCGGCAACAGATAAAACGGAAGAAAATTAATGGATGGATGTTCGATTAATATATTACAATAAAAAAAATGGCTGAAGCAACTATGCTTATGTAATATGCCGAGTGGCACGGTGGCTGAGTGGGTTAGCACTCTCGCTTCTCAGCAAGGAGATCCTCCAGGTGCTCCCACTAAAAACATGAACTATAACTCTCCTCTCTCTCTCCCCTGAAGTCATGGTCAAAAAAAGGTCAATAAATGAATTCTTATTGTTCTAATAAAGTCATTAATCACACTGTTACCAGCTCCCAAGCTGTGGTTACTGATGCAAACCACCTGCTGGGGTTTAGCTACGACTGCTGTGTGTTACATACTTATGCATCTGCTTCATTTAAACAAATGTGTGGTTCCATTCTGAACATACTAAACATCATTCCTGAGTCCTAAATGTGTATTGTACCCGCGGTGCTGAAGTTGAAGAGGGGGGGCAGGTCGCGGCCGCTGGGCAGGCGAGTGTTGGGCAGACGCAGCTCGTCGAAGAAGGTGTGAGAACAGGCCTCTAGAGGAGAGAGGCGCGAGGCCGGCGTGTACTCCAGCAGCCGCGAGCAGAGAGCGATGGCCTCAGGCGGAGTGCGCGGTTTAAACACCTGAACGCCACAAACAAGACTTTTATTCAATCTGAAGAAACTGGTTTAGACTCAAGAACATCCACTGCCCCAGGGGCCTCCAAACCTGTCCACAAGAACCACTGGGCAGTCCTGGGTCTACAGCCTCTCAGATAACATGTTTTCGCAGGTCTACAGCCTCAGTCCTGGGTCTACAGCCTCAGTCCTGGGTCTACAGCCTCAGCCCTCAGTCCTGGGTCTACAGCCTCAGTCCTCAGTCCTGGGTCTACAGCCTCAGTCCTCAGTCCTGGGTCTACAGCCTCAGTCCTCAGTCCTGGGTCTACAGCCCGTCCGTCAGTTGTGTGGATCTCTCCCTTAGTGGGAGATTACTACTTTTGTGATTTAGGGCTAAACAAAAATGAATTGAATTGAATCTTAACCAGACAATTGAGGACCTAGAGGACAGGTCTGGACACCCCTGTACTACACTATTCACTAAAAATAAGTAAATAATAAGAAGCTCAAGTATTCAGAGCTGTGAGGAAATGTGAACCTTCCTGTACCTTGGTCCATGGATGAGCTTTGATCTGAGGAAACTTAAACTCTGTGTAGTTTGGGTTCATTTCTCGGATCTGTTCTCTGGTGGGCGTCCCCAAAACCTGAGACAAAAGCCCAGTTAGAACACATAGAACACATGAACCTCATGACTCGTCTCCTGTGGCGTCAGACCTTGATGATCTCCACGAGTTGGTCCACGCCGCTGTCTCCGGGGAAGATGGGCTGTCCCAGCAGCAGCTCCGCCAGGACGCAGCCTGCAGACCAGATGTCGATGTTGGCCGTGTAGTCTGTGGCTCCGAAGATGAGCTCCGGAGCGCGATAGTACCGTGAGCAGATGTACGACACGTTAGGCTCTCCGCGGACCAGCTGCTTCGCACTGACCACAAGAGACACGTTACTACAGACGGTTCTGACAGAAGTCTCCAATCACATTAAATAAGAAATATAAACACACAGAAGGTCCTTTCACCACCTGTTGGAGGTTTTATTGATGGACAGTTTTTCTTCTTAAAAGTCCCATATAAGGGTAAGACTTTTCTCTGCTTTAAAACGTCAAAGTGCTATGGGGCCTTCATACAGAAGCCCAAAGTAGTTTTTTCATAGATTCCTTCAAGCTTGAGTAAAAGAGTGATCTTCCTTCATACAGGAGCGGGAGCTCGATGCCTCAGTTCAATTTGATGACAGCTTCTCTGCTACTTTCACCAACTAAAGGGCAGGTTTCTTCTATGCAAGAAATGGCTATAATTTTTGAGCATATCTCCCAAATTATTATAAGAAGAGTGAAATATGGGAAATAAGTGACTCATTTCTTCAAATACATAACATGTGTCTCCTGGGACACTCCCAGTAGCTAACAGACTGATGATCTACATTAAAACAAAATTCTCCGGTCTTCTGTGGTGTGGTCTCACCTGCCGAAGTCGCAGAGCTTGAGCACAGCAGTCTCCGGGTCGACCAGCAGGTTTTGGGGCTTGATGTCCCGGTGACAGACGCCCTGAGAGTGGATATACGCCAGACTGCGGAACAACTGGTACATGTACACCTGCAGAGAGACACCAACTTTCAGCACCAAAGGAAAATCTACAAGTTATTGTAATTAGTTGGTAAGTGCAAAATACAAGGATGAACAATAACAATTTGAAGATAGGTTGATATTTGGCTGTTAAGTGTGACTATTGGGGTCAAAAGCTGCAGCAACATAAAAAAAGAGACAGATGTGGAGTACCACAGGGGTCAATCTTGGAACCTCTTCTGTTCAATCCTCCACATGCTGCAGTTTGGTCAGAAAAGACGTAGTAACAACGTGTCCAATCACATTTACGCAGACCACATTCAGATCTATGACTCACAGTGGACTCACTCTCTCTAAAGGAGCACAGGGACTGACACAGTGACACTGGGGTCCAAAGTCAGGACTAAAGGCTTCTACACGGACAATGTTCATATCCAGGTTAAAGTAGCAATGTGTAAGATTTTTACTGTATGTCAAATCATCATTAAATGGCCCTAATTTGTCAAAAAGCATTAATAAACCATGCTCTTTTCCAATAATCCTTGAAATTATAACAGATAGATGTCAGTATACGCTAGTATGAGCTAGCTCAGAGGCTCCAACATAAGCCTCAGTGGGTTACAAAAGGCTTTTAATAGATCCATGGGCTTCATCTGCCTATCACTAATATACGGCAACCTGAAACCGTAGCCTTTAGGCAGAACAAAGTAAAATCTCTTTTTTAGTTCTGGGCATTTTCACGAATAGCCATTGGTAGCGTTTTAGTGGCCATATGACGGCCATTTGTAGTGACGTATTTCAACCTAAAAGAACTGTGAAAAAGGTGTTGGTTATTGATTTGTTGTTGCTGGATTCTGTGTGTATCTGGCAGCCTGAGTCAGGGAGAGGACTACAGAATATTGGCTGTGATTGCAGTTCTTTTGGGAAGGTTTTTGAAATCCGTTCTGTTTGGCAGTGCATACACCTGAAGTCAATATTAAGGCTTTGTGTATGATTTGAACTTAGATTTTCTTGTTTAATCAATCACTTTGATTTGCAGTGTGTACGATTTGTGCTAAACAAACAGTCGTGCCTTTCCTTGCAATGCAGTAGTTCTGTTGAACGGAATCTCTACAAAAGCAGCATCAACAACGAGAGATGTGTGATTGTTGTCGCTTTATAAAAAGACGACTAAAGGGCGGTCCATCTGTTTAATTATCAGCTCGAGTCTGGAGCAGGAAGAGCAGTGTTTATGTCATCGCTAACAGCTCAGTGTCTGAGGACTGCACACAGTTCTGAGGACTCGCATCTGCTGCCGAAACATGTCAAGGAAAATACACTGCATTAAAGCTGGGGTACCCAACTTTCAAAGCACAAAATGTTGAAACGTTGTATAAAATCTATTTGACTAAAACAGTTTGCTTCGTCACATTTTAGACCAGCTTTTTCAGACAGAAGTGAAAAAGAGTAGACCATCAAACAGTGACTCATGGTTCTTTGCATTACAAGTATTCCAAAGATAACATGTTTTAGCAGGAAGTTCTGTCTGATTTGCACAATTTTACTTTTACAAGACTTTCTGCTGGGCTTCAATTATGTTACCGTGGTGTACGTTAGCTTAGCATCTGTAACCATGCAATAAAACCACTAAACTTTAACTAAAAATAAAACCATTTCACAACTCCTTTTTTTTGGGGCTAAAAAATTCAATATTTATGAGGGAGAAAGATTAGGAACCCAACTTTTAATGCAGTCTCACGAGAAAACACGAAAACAAAGAGAAATTAAACTTGCCTTCACATAGATGATGGGGATGATGCTCTTGACTTTGTTAAACTGTCGGGCCACTCTGTAAACCGTCTCAGGGACAAAATCCAGGACCAGGTTCAGGTACACTTCGTCCTTCTGTAAAAGAGTTCACAGACCTCAGCACCAACACAAGAACTGAGCCACAATAAACTAGTTTTGAGCGTTTAGGGCTACGAAAAAATCCAAGTGGATGAATAATCAAACGGCAATTTTTAGTTTATAGTTCAAATTTGATATGCCGAATTTGATGAAGTGGTAAGCAAAAAATAAAAACAATACAATTTGCCAATGAAGTTATGTTTCTTAACTCATTGAATGCCAGCCTATTTCAGAACAGGTACTCCCACAGTGCCAGCCATTTATGATGATTTTTACTGATTTTTCAAGACCCACAGAATATTGTGTACTATGACTATCTGAAATCCGACACCAGATTCTAAAAGAATGGACTGTCTACTTTCCTCAGCAAAAAGAATTTTGTTTATAGCTTTTTTCGTTCCCCTGTAATCCTCCGTTGAGTAGAGGGAAGTTTTACTGAAATCACCAGAAATCACCAGAAAGTTGAGAAAAAAGAGGCACAACATGTGCACCTACATGTTTTCAAACCATTCAGAGAGCAATGCTGCCACCTGCTGGTTCGATAAAATATGGTCTCAAGTCATCCCCATACATATTAGATACAATAGACATCTGGGAACGTGAAAATAGCGAAAAAGGCATTTGACGTATTTGTGCGTCAATGGGACACAATGAGTTAAGGTCGCATAAGTATAAAATAAGTATAAAATCCTCAGTATGCTGCATCTAGATTTACTGGAATAGGTTGTGTTCAAGTGACATCACAACAGTCCAAAATAGGGATGGGCGAAATATATCGTAGAAGTGAATTTGACGATATACTTGAAAAACAATTAATTTTAAAAGATATCATTACAATATTGTTATCAGGCGTAGGAGGAAAAAAATATATGTATTTTTGTCCATAGTGCCCACCCCTAGTCCAAGAAGCCTATGGGAAAAAAATTGTGGTGGAGGGAAAACTGAAAAATCTCCCCTGGTAACTATGGTTTCTAGTCTTAGTATTGAGTTAATCTCTGATCCCTGGGCCAATCTACAAAAACTGTTTTTTCAAATCAAAATAATATATAACTTTTTACCCACTGGGAAAATGTTAAAACTATGGCATATGACAGAGACGGATGACTGCCGTTTTTGTTGTCAGGAGTCTGAATCCACACTGCATTTATTTTGGTACTGTTTTATTGTTGAAAAAATGTGTCAAAGCATTGTTTTGTTTATTAAGCTTGAAGTTGTCTCTGTTATAATAGGAGAGTTTATAGATGGTCAGGATCTAATTAATTTAATTACTGTGCTCGGTAAAATATTTATTTTTAAGGCTAACAATCGATATTCAATCAATATGGGCGAAAATTAAAAATGTTTATTCAGCGTTTTAATTTTAGAAAGTCCATCCATCCATCCATCCATTTTCTTCCCCTTAATCCATTTCTGGGTCGGGGGGGGTGGCAGTCAGAGCTGCACCCAGTACACATAGCACTAGCCCCTCACTGATCCTCCAGCAGGTGGTGAGTCCACAGGAGCTGAGATCTTTCAGTTGGGGCTTTGGGCAAAGTAGGGTTAAGTGTCTTGCCCAAGGACACAACGACAGCAGTCATCAGTGGGAGTCGTGAAGTAGGTCTTACGGTGGGCTCGAACCCACGACCTTCAGGCCCAAAGGCCAATGTTCTACCAACTGAGCTACTGATTTTAGAAAGTCATATGATCGAAATTGATGCTGAAGTCAAAAAGCATACAAAATCGATGGGCGGTCCTCAAAAGATAATTTTGAAATATTACTCTGGTACATGTTTATTGTACGTAAATTAAGATGTGTGGAAACCGTCTGGACTGGACCTGGTTTAGGAATCTATTTTACCATCAAAGTCACTTTACAATTTGTTAAGAGCACAAATTGTAAAGTGAAGGGTCCCTGGAAACTGCATCATTTCCTTAAACAGGACAATTAAACAGACTCATTCGAACTGTATTTTGAAAGGTTTTGTCAGTGTCAGTGTGAATGGGGGATGAGCGAGGGTGGGGTGGTACACTAGTTATGTAAGTGTATCTTGTATTTTTATGTTAAACGGATTCTTTTTCTGACAGTTGAAAATAATAATTAAATAAATAATAATATTGAAAAACTGTCATGAGTTCAGTTCTCTTTGTCAGCACATATCAGCAATAGACTAATAATTTTAAACTAGATAGTGGTGACAATATTCAAAAAACATTTGCACAATGTTGGCCAGTAAAAAGGACTTTTAGACCTAAGAATAATAACTCACTGACAAGTAATGATCTGGGGAAACATTTGGATGTTTTCTTTTTAAACATTTCCCTCAAAAATGGCTTCTTTCCCACATAGTTGTATTAGCACCAACTGATCTACGATTCTACAGCATGAGCACAAACTGGGACTCCTTTTTTGCAGTAGCATTTTATGAATTTTTAGAAAGATTTCAAAAGAATAAAACGGACCATTCAAATCAGTTTCACTTCAATATCTTTGCATTTTGCAGCTCATAAGTTCCAGTACCTTCTCGCCGCTGGAGTAGAAGAAGTACCGTAGTCTGACGATGTTGCAGTGGTCCAGCTTCCTCATAATCTGTAGTTCTCGATTCTGCACAAATTCAGCAGAAATCCTCTTGAGTGAGACGATCAATGTGATTTCAAACCTTGTGGAGGAGAACTGAGAATGACCTTAAAGCGTTTGTCCTGTAAAACCTTCTTGATCGCCACCATCTCCTGGCTGTCGATGAGCCGCGCCTGATACACGACGCCGAACGAGCCATTTCCAATCACCTGCAAAGATGAAAAACAACAAATGTCGTTCACACTTTTCAGTGATTTGTGATGAGTGAAATATTCTCTGTAGCAGCAGTTTGTTTTTAAGACCGTAAAAGCCCCACACACTTTTCTAATAACCTGAACACAACACTGCTGAAGTGAGAGAGACCAGAGAGAGAGGCCCACAAGAATTCAGAGAGACCAAATACAGATCAGAGAGAGAGAGACAGAGACAGAGTGAGAGACCAGAAACGTAGACACCAGAGAGAGACCAGACAGACCAGAGATGTCAAACCTGTTGGTTGTAGGTCTGAGTGCTGCTGCAGCTGTCAAAAGCCGTGCATACACAGCTGCAGAGGACAGTTCAAAGAGGAGCCAAAAGCTGCAGTTATCTGGTGATCACGCAAATTGCTAACAGGGTTTATTTATTTATATATTTGTTGCTTGTCTCTGCGCACACATCGGCAGAGAAGAAAAAAAATAATCAAGGAAGGGGAGTACAGCAGCGAGACCAAATACAGATCTGTCTCTGTGTGTGTGTGTGTGTGTGTGTGTGTGTGTGTGTGTGTGTGTGTTCTTGTTTTAATATCCCGGTGGGGACCTGAACCTGACTACACACAGCCTGGTGGGGACCTATTCCCCCGTGGGGACCTAAAGTGAGGTCCCCACCGTGTTGAGCCCTACTACAGATCTCAGATCAGTTAGTAGACATGCCTGGTGCATTATCTCAGAAGTCCCCTTGGGTCACATTCACCTGACAAAAATCTGTGTGTGTGTGTGGCCATGCGCCCCTGGTGTACACACAGAGTACTGCAGTCCCCACCAGGTAGGTGTTCTGGTTGTGTGTATTGCTCTCCATCGCCCCCTTCCCCCATCAGGCCAAATGCAGTACTACAATCTAGAAGTAAATAAGACAATTTCTTTTGTTTATTTCTTCTTTGTTTTAAACCAAAAATATTAGTTATTGCAACAATTCAACTCCAAATGTATCTTTTAATCAATATATTAATAACAATTTACAAGAAGTTAATTATTTTCTTTGTTTCCTAGGCAGTGTTCTCTTTATTTATGCTATGTTAATTAATAGATAGAGGGATATATATATATATATATAATATACTTAATTGATTGACTGCGGAACCTTCCGCAGTCAACCATTGGTTTTGTATTTCTTTATTCCGTCATTTTTTTTGACACGTTTCACAGCTTTCACATTTTCAACAATTTCCACAAGTTATACATCAAAACGTTCCACATGTTTGGGAGATTATTGCTATTACTTTTGGGACTTCAGCGATTTCCGGTTTTTCCGCAATCGGACAAAAATCTGCATTGAGAATTCTGCAATGCATTTTAATAGGCCCATGCATTTTAATAGGACTTCAGCTCTTTCAGACATTTCTACAGTTTCAATGATTCAACAGTTTCAAGGATTCAACAGTTTCAAGGATTTCAGCAGTTTCAAGATTTCAAGAGTTTCAAGGACTTCAACAGTTTCAAGGACTTCAGCAGTTTCAAGGACTTCAGCAGTTTCAAGGACTTCAGCAGTTTCAAGGACTTCAGCAGTTTCAAGGACTTCAGCAGTTTCAAGGACTTCAGTGTAATCATGCAACCTAATAGGGATTTTTCCATGTAAACCAGTATAATGCAACTTAATAGGGATTTTTCCATGTAAACCAGTATAATGCAACTTAATAGGGTTTTTTCATGTAAACCAGTATAATGCAACTTAATAGGGTTTTTTTTCATGTAAACCAGTATAATGCAACTTAATGGGGATTTTTCCATGTAAACCAGTATAATGCAACTTAATAGGGGTTTTTACATGTAAACCAGTATAATGCAACTTAATAGGGTTTTTTCCATGTAAACCAGTATAATGCAACTTAATAGGGATTTTTCCATGTAAACCAGTATAATGCAACTTAATAGGGGTTTTTACATGTAAACCAGTATAATGCAACTTAATGGGGATTTTTCCATGTAAACCAGTATAATGCAACTTAATAGGGGTTTTTACATGTAAACCAGTATAATGCAACTTAATAGGGTTTTTTTCCATGTAAACCAGTATAATGCAACTTAATAGGGTTTTTTTCATGTAAACCAGTATAATGCCAGCACCTCGGCTCTCTCCGCTTTCCGACCTTTTCTCTATTTATTTCTTGTAGATGTGCTATTTTATTTATTTTTCTTTAAATTTAGGTGTTATGTTGGTGCATTAGTGCACAAGGGGGAAGTCTAGTCTTGTCAGATTATCACAGGAATAATCAAGTTTTGGCACTTTTGGATTCCTCCGCTCACAGCACCACATAGCCCACCCCGTGACCCATTGACAACACAGGGAGCAGCTCCTCGGACAAAGTGGACTTAGCTTTCCTGCACTCCGTGAAGCCGGTGATCCTGTGGATCACCTGTGGAGATCGCAGGAGAACGCAGACGGCTCCAGAGGAGAGAGAAAGAAGAGAGGAGGCTGTACCTACTCCCTCACCCTAGGGAAAGTTGCAAATCGGATACCTAACAATAAAAAAAAAAAATGGAATTATTTTTTGGGGAGGTAGCCGAAAACGGGGGTAGGTAGCCGCTTAAGCTCCGAGGCCACTGCTTGTGGGCTACTTGCGGGAATCGGCTTACCTCGTTGACGGTTTGGGCTACTTTCTGTCGGGCAACCACCGGGACGTGTACCGAATTTGGGGACGCGTTTGATTTAATTTGCTTGAAATTAATTTGCTTGAATTCTGGCCTAGCCAGTCACATGGTGTCTAGGACCATAGACCTTAACCCACTTGACATGCTAGCTTGGCCAAGCTCAGTTCTTTTCCGCAAGGTCGCACAGGCACAAGCCTGACCTCTACGGAACCGGCTCGGCCAGCCGAACGCAAACGGTGTAAAGCTTTTGGACCCTGCGATGTTCAGCTGCAGCGCTAGGGGGCGACGATAATTTTTTTAAAAACGCGCCTCGTTAAGTCTATTACTCGGAAAACGAGGTCGTAGAACTATAACGGAGGTGTCCTTGGAAAGCCCTAGATGTGACTAGTCACATATATGAGCTGCAGCAAGGTGGCGCTGTCCTCCACCATAAATCAAGGACTTTCTGGTTTTTCTGGCCACGAGACCCTCCTCTTTTAAAAAGCGGGGGGTTGCCGAGCCAGTTTGAACTTTGGATTAATGTTCAGCTTTTAGTGAAGGGTGCGTACAAAGGTATCGACTAGTTTGGCATGGAATTTGAACTTTTTACAAGCCTCCAAGCACTTTTTGGCCTTCAAAAGGCCGAACATTATAAGGGGAGGTGTACCAACATTTCAAATCTTGGACTACCGCCTCATTTTTGACTATGCTTACACAACAGGCTATTCTGAGCTCGAATATGTAGGCGCCCAGCTCAAACGACCAATAGGAAGTCAAAGTAGCCAACCGAGTGGCGGTCGGCCCGAAACTTTGGATTTTCGGTGGATTGTGTGTAAGGAGGCGTGCACCGAATTTGGACTTGTTTGGATTTATTTGAAGCCGTGCGAGCTTGATTGGCGTGATTTTTTTTACCGAACGGAAGCCCGCCCACCGAGAACCGTAAGGCCCCAGAGGTCTAACGTTCTTCCGTTGGATCGTCTCGTGGCCCTTACCACATTAATCCGAAATTCAAGCCTGTAACCCAGTAGAAAATATCGCGACCAAATCTGGCCTAGCCAGTCAAGGAGGGTGTCAGGAACCTTAGACCCTAACCCACCTGAAATGCTAGCTTGGCAAAGCTCAGCTTCTTTTACGGGTCGCACCAGGCACAAGCCAGACCTCTACGGAACCGGCTCGACCAGCGAACGCAACGGGTAAAGCTTTTGTCCCTGCCATGTTCCATCGCGGAGCTAGGGGGCGGACAACCTTTAAAAAAAGGCACCTCGTTAAGTGTTATAACTTCGGCCAAACGAGGTCGTAGAGGCAGATGGTACAGGAAATCGTTGGAAAGCCCTCCCACGTGACGAGTCACATATATGAGCGCAGAAAGGTCAGCCAAAATTCAAAATTCGTTCAACAATTGTAGGGCCGTTTAAAAGATACAAAGTTATTAGTATTATTTCCATTATCCAGACGCCAGCTATGACTGTCCAAATTTTAGAGCTCTAGCTCAATTTGCGCAAAAGAGGTTTAAAGGTCATTTTAAAGCTGACCGTATAGTGTGACATTTTTCCCTGGTGTATAGGCACAAACGACCCCTCGTACGGAACCGAGGCTCGACGACTGAACGGCAACGGTGTAAAGCTTTTGACCTGCGATGTTCAGCCGCGCCTCGTCAAGTCTAATTACTCGGCCAAACGAGGTCGTAGAACGATACGGAGGTGTCCTTGGAAAGCCCTAGATGTGACGAGTCACTATATAGCTGCAGTAAGGTGACGTGACGTGCTTGATTTGGCGTGATTTTTTTTACCGAACGAAAGGCCCGCCACCAAGAACCGGAAGGCCCCCAGAGGTCTAACATACACCGTTGGACTCGTCTTGTGGCCCTTCTATCCACCTATCCGAAATTCAAGCTTCTTATTACCCCAGCTAGAACCAAATCGGCTTTGTTGGCTTGTGAAACACTAACATGGTCTGAGACTTATTGGCGTTTACCCCCTCTGAAGGGTGGATTTTGGAGAGCTCGTTAAGCTCAGGAGGGTGATCGAAGAACGGCTCCAATCACCTTCCAAGTGTCATTGGAGTTCCAATGGGCGTTGAAGTCCCCCAGGAGATAACGGAGTCCCCGGTCGGTGCACCGTCCAGTACCCCTCCCAAGGACTCAAGAAGGCGGGTACTCTGCATGCTGTTTGGCCCGTGCCGTCCAACAGTGATAGAGACTTGTCCCCACCGATGTCGGAGGGACGCGACCCTCTCATTCACCGGGAGAACTCCAACACGTGCGGCTTGAGATGGGGGGCAATGTGAATGGCACCCCGACAGTGTCAAAGGCAGCACTCAGATCTAACAGGATTAGGATTGAGACTTTGCCTGCTGTCAGTGTTCAGCCGGATTTCGTTTGTAACCTT